GTGGTCTTGAAGGAACTACGGTGAAGAGCTGGAAAAGCACCAACATTTTGGACTCCAGAGGCCTCTCTAAGTACTAAATGCTAAATTTAAAACCCATTTGATAAGACTAGCTAACAATTGAGCACATCTCATGTGCCAGGCCCCGTTGGAGGCATTTGGTGTTGTGTGCTAACTCATTAATCCTCAGCTGCCCTGAGAGAGGGGAATGTTGTCACTCTTTCATCACAGATGGAAGACCCTGAGGCACAGAGAGCTTCAGCAACTTGCCCAGACACAGCCCCCCACACACACAAGCACATACACATGTACACATGTGCACACGCTTATGCACAGGCATACGCGCACACAGGCAGAGCTGGGATTTGAACCCAAGGTTCTGGCTCCAGCATCTGTGTTCTTAGCCTCTGCACATCGCTTGTGCTAAGAGGAAGCTAAACATTCTTTAAATTTGACGCGCTCATCTGAATAACAACCGCCACATCAAAAACCTAAGTTTCTTTGTTTTTCCTAAAAATACTGATTTGCAAGTAATTCTGCAAAGGTTTCTGCAAAAGTAATTCTGCCTTTGTAGTTTTACAGATGAAGAGTTCTAGAGACAGTGATACAACCATCACAACAAGTATGTGCCGTCGTATTTTTTGTCAGCATTGCAAGTTAAAATGAACCTGCCTCAGCCTTGAGTTATTGTTATTATTATTGCCACTTTTTATTGCTACATTAATCACCAGACATACTGAGAGGGATTAATGAAGCTAATTGTTTTAGAAACTAAATTAAATGCGCGTGCTAATGCTGGGTGACCGAGCTCTGACATTGTGTGCTGGATTCAGCAGAGGAGTGGACAGGCTGCCCTGCAGCAGCTTCAGAAGATTTGATCACTTCAGATGTCACCTTGACATCCATGGTCCGTTTTCTTTGTAGTTAGTTGCGCAGCTATTTTTACTTTATGAACACGTCTGTGAGCTGTAGTTTAAAGTTTTATGTGTGCCAAATTGAAAAGATTGAGAGATCGCTTTTAAATGGGCATCTGTATTATTTGTTTGGCCTGCCTTAACAAAATAGCACAGATTGTGTGGCTTAAACCACAGACATTTATTTCTCCCAGTTTGGGAGGCCGAAGTCCAAGATCAAGGTGCTGCAGCTCCACTTTGTCCTGAGGCCTCTCTCCTGGGCTTGCAGATGGCGCTTTCTTGCTGTACCCTCGCAGGCCATGTCTTTGTGTGCACGTCCCTGCTGTCTCCTTCTCTTAGACAGACACCATTTCTCTTATATTAGGGCCCTACCCCAATTTCCTCATTTAACTTGATTATCGTTTGAAGACCCTCTCTCCAAATACAGCTACAGTTTAAAGGTATGTGGGTTAAGACTTCAACCTGTGAAATTTTGGGGGACACTATTCAGTCCATAATAGCATCTTTCATCAGTTTCTGATGAGCATGGAAAAGAGGTGGGATGGAGCGGGGAGGGAAATTAATTTTTAAAAAACATTTAGTGGGACAGGTCTTCTAGGCTCTTCCTTGGGCCAAAAACATTCATAACTCTCAGATCCTGTGTTTCAAGAGAGTGGAAAATGACCCTAAGGTTTATATACAGCTAGTGCTTGACTTACGACCACGGTCGGGGCCGCGGACCAGTCGTAACATGATTTGGTCGTAAGTTGCGTAGGCTATATGTACAGTTGAAATGGTGCACGTGGAGAAGGTAGTGCTGCCGGAAGCTGGTCCGCACTGTCGTACGCCCGGCTGGGCAACGTTTGCGCTGCCAGACAAGGAGCAGTCGTGGCTAGCAATTGTGGTCGTAAAGTTGAATGGTCGTAAGTTGCATAGGTGGTAAGTCAATCAATACCTGTAACTGTATTTTCAGTCTCCATTTCTGACTGGGAGGCCAAGTACATAGGCTGGGAAATCTTAGATTTAAAAACTGCCTGCAAATGTTGGGACTTTTCTGTTTTGTCTTTTGCCTTTTGCTTTAAAAAAAAAAAAAAAAAAAAATCTGACCTTGAAGTGAAGGGAATTCCTGGAAACCCAAAACATAGAAGGAACTGAAATTCAGACCTTTAGCACAAGAGGTGGGCCCAGAGGAGGTGGGGAGAGGCGAAGGCTGGATGCTCAGAGGCCACGCCCCTGGGGAAAGGGTGGAAGAGGGAAACCTGCCCAGTGGCCCTGGGAGGGCCAGGAAGCGGGGCTGTGTCAGCCTGGGCTCCACATGGGGACAGAAGTCTCCTTGAGAATTTGTGAACGAAGGCCTGCATTTACAAGAGTTCAGTTCATGGTTGCACTGTCTGGCAATTTGTCTTCTGAGAAATCTGCCTTGAAAAGGATTTTCAGGCACCTATTCTCCAGGCCTGACAAAAACGTGCAGCATCTCCCCAGAGGGCTGCTGTCTGCATCACAGGCCCCATAAGATCGTTACTGGTAAAGCCCCGTGAAGATAGAGTCCTCATCCACAATCTCCCAGGACAAGAGCAAGAATCTACAGACAAAAACAGACAGGAGGATTAGATTCCAGAGGACTTCAGAAAATCAAATAATTGGATATACAACTGTAAGGCAAGCACGCCTAAAATGATTAAATATGTAAAGGAATTGAAAGCACAAGAAAACAGTAAGACCCCATCAGATACAGACCTGGTGAATTTGAGATTTAAAAAGTATGCTTTACAGATGAAAAATAAAATGATTAGAAATCAATTGATGGGATATAGAGCAGATTTTTGAGAGGATTACTGAACAGGATTCTGTTTCTTTCTTCCCCAAGTAGAATGTCCCCTCCGTTGAGAAGCAGTGTGGGCAGCACGGAGATTTTAGTTGCAAACTCAGGTCAGCAGAAGAACGTTTAAACACAGTCCTTCATTTTCCTTGCTCTCTTTTCCCCTTTTCCAACGGTCAGCTGCAGAGGCATTGCTGGTCCTGGGAGCAAACGTCACTATCTCTTCCAGTCAGGGGCTGCTGCTGGCAAGGTCTCCCAGGGAAGTTGAAGACCAGTAAACCTGAAGCATGTCAGCCCCAGGCTGCCTCTCCCGTTCACCTTGCCATTCATCAGTCTCATAAACTTGGCCTGGACTTTTGTGACTCAGCAGGATCCACCCAAATTTACAATGCCAGAGGACATGGCGTGGCAAGTTGACTGTGTCATGATGTTAGCCAGCTTGTGGTAGAGACACTAAGGTATGGATAAGGCATGCACCCGGAGCCTGAAGGACCAATGACTGCAAGGAAAACAGCTCTGCTTTCTAGCCAGCACTCCGCTCTCCGGAACACCTCTCTCCTCCTAACAGCTCAGTCTGCGGAGGTCTATCCCCTTTCTGCAGAGGAAGCAGGGAATCTTTGAGAATATGAGTGACTAGTTGGAGACCACGTAGCTGAGGGTGTGGAGGAACATGCTGATCCCAAAACACATGGTAGTGACTACCACGCGAGGCTGGCTTTTTGGATTTAGGACCAGCCAGCCTTTCTAACCTCTATCCCATGGAGCTCTGTAGTCCTGATGGAGGATAACTAGTATTATAGCCCCCCCAAAAAAGATTTCTACTGTCAGATAGGCTGGGGAGAGCTGGCATGCGCTATGTCTCTCGGAAGTCTTTCCCATGCAGGGTGGCACGCTAAGGCCAAGAAGGTCTCTCTTAGGGAAACCTTTTTAATTTTGTTCAACCTGGTATTTTCCAGCATCTTGTTAGATTCTAAATCACCTGACCCCTTACAATACAGTTTTAACATATTAGCCATGAGGGAACTACAAATCAAACCGCAATAAGAAACTACTTCACACCCACTGGGATGGCTATAATTAAAAAGACACACAAGAGCAAGTGTCAGGAACATGTGGAGAATGGGAACCCACACGCTGGTGGGAACGTGAAATAGTGCAGAGGGTTTGGAAGACAGTTTGGTGGTTCTTCAGAAGGACAAATTCAGACTTACCATGTGGCCTGGCAGTTCCAATTCTCAGTATATACTCGAGGAAATGAAAACATACGTCCATACAAAAACTTATGTGTAAGTTCTCCACAGCTGCATTGTTCCTAATAGCCAAAAAAGTGGAAACAATGCAAATGTCTAACTGATGAATGGAAAGATACAATGTGAATTATCCCTGCAATAGAATATTATTTGGCAATAAGAGAATGAAATATTTACATGTGCTACAACATGGAGGAACCTTGAAAACACGCTAAGGACAAGGAGCCAGCCACCAAAGGCCACATACTTTATAATTCCACTGACATCAAATGTCCGGAATAAGCAAGTCCATGTGACTGGCCGCAAGCAGCGGGGAGGGGTGGTATGGGGGGTGACAGTTCATGGGTGTGGGGTTTCTGTTTGAGGTGATAAAAAATATCCTAAAATTGATTATGGCAATAGTTGTGCAATTCTGAATTCCCTCAAAACCATCAAATTATACAGTTAAATGAGTGAATTATATTCTACATGAATTACATATTAATAAAGCTGTTTTTTAAAACTAACTTAACATCCGCCAGTGGTAAGGTTTCACAGCATAGTTTGGGCAAAGCTGCAGAAGTCTTTGTTGCCACTTGCCTGGGCTCTGTGAAGGCACAGGAGCTGTCCCATGCCACCCATCACCATATCACCCCATCAAAAGCGTCTTCGATACTTGAGAAAGTGAATTTCACAGAAGAGGCTGAAGTGAGCCCTTGTGTCAAGACAGTGTGGAGAGCTGAAAGCAGCAGCTGCTCTCTTGGTTATATACTTTGTGCCCTGCTTATACTACTGCTTTTACAAAATACCTGAAAGGTGAACAAGTAGAAAAAACAAGAGCCTTGGAAAGTTTCTGAGCGGCTCCGTAGTAAGAGATTGCGTTGAGTGCTGAATCATGTTGAATTTCCCCCGACGACCCTGACCTTCCCGAGTTAATCATTGTCACTGCCAGATTCTCCAGACTAACTTGTGGCCATTGGGCCACCAGAACCTTTCCAGCTCTCCCGGATCCACAGGCAGCCCCATTTCCACATTAATCCCACTCTTTCTGTTTCATTTCAGTGAAAGCTGGTGGAATGAGAATTGTGCAGAAGCACCCACATACTGGAGACACCAAAGATGAGAAAGACAAGGATGACCAGGAATGGGAAAGCCCCAGGTGGGACAATGCTGGCGACTCTTAAGCATGTTTCCCAAAAACCCTGTTCGGTTAAATATTAACGTTTGTTCTCTATAATATGATTCTGATAACTCTTGGGCTACGTGGGGCCGCGTTCTGTGTGTTTTTCCCTTCCCAATCAGGGAGGAGGGGACTCTGTTCTCAAACAGGGGAGAAATAGAGCCCCTAGAGGTCCTCTTCCCTGACCAGTTTGAACGATCCCACCGTGCTCACACCCCACACCCAGGGCTGGTGCCCTGTCTGTCTGCACAGTTAGAGATACCTCCATCTGCCCAGGTGACTGGGTTTAGCCAGTGTGACTCCTTCCTGGAAGCCAGGGCATTGTGTGGAGCAGGAGCAGTCTCCTGTGGCCCCTTGGTCTTCCTTCCTTCCTTCCTTCCTTCCTTCCTTCCTTCCCTCCCTCCCTCCCTCCCTCCTTCCCTCCCTCCCTCCTTCCTTCCTTCCTTCTTCTTTCTTTCTTCTCTCTTTCTCTCTTTCTCTTTCTCTCTTCCTCCCTCCCTCCCTCCCTCCCTTCCTTCCTTCTTTCTTTCCTTCCTTTCTTTTCTTTCTTTTCTTTCTTTCTTTCTTTTTGAGACGGAATCTCACTCTGTTGCCCAGGCTGGAGTGCAGTGGTACAATATCAGCTCACTGCAACCTCCGCCTTCTGGGTTCAAGTGATTCTCCCTCTTCAGCCTTCCGAGTAGCTGGGACTACAGGCACATGCCACCACACCTGGCTAATTTTTGTATTTTTAGTAGAGAAGGGGCTTCACCATGTTGGCCAGGCTGGTCTTGAACTCCTAACTTCAGGTGGTCCACCCGGCTCGGCCTCCCAAAGTGCTGGGGTTACAGGCATGAGCCACTGCGCCCAGCTGTAATTTTTTTTTCTGGCCCTTGGTTTTCTGATGGTAGACACAGCTGCCGGCTACCGTCTCCCCAAGGCTGGACCACCAGAGTGGACGAAGTAGGCAGATTTTTGCACCTGTGAGTCTTTGTACTCCAGGTTTTTGTTGTCATTCCAGAGAAGCAAATACTAACAGTTTCTGGGCAGTAGTTCGCAGCTTAGGTTTCCATACTGAAATCACAGGGAGACCCATGAGAATTGCCACACTAGTTGAACCTCAGGGGTGGGCCTGGCTGGCTGTGTAGCTGGGGTGAGAACTTCTGATTTAAGAAAGGTTAAAGTATTTCCTACCTTGGATTGTCAGCCAGATCTAGAATTACAAGGCTACACCCTTATGAGTGACTGGGTGTCCTTAAATGATACCTCTGCTCCCAGTTCTCCTAAGGCCTGCACAGGGGTTTCCTTGCAGACCCCTTGCCTACTCAACACCTATTTTCCTTGGAGGTTCAGATTTCTAGTTGGGTTCAAGGAACTTGATAGGAATCCATTTCCCTCAACTTTGCAATACACAAACAGGTACCACTAGCACACGGGCAGGAGCTCGTCCGCGTAGAAGAAAGCACTAAGCTCTCTACGCACAGCCTGTCTCCAGACGATGTCTTGGGCAGAGGGGGAGAGAGTGTGGAAAGGGAAAGAGGCCGTGGAAAGAAGCTAACCTTGATTCCTGTGGATTCAATACATGATTTTACTTCATTTCATTCCCGCAGTCCTGAATAGTAGGTGATATTATCCCCAGTTTGCACACAGGAAACAGAACCCCACAGAGGATATCAGCCTGCCCATAATGTATGCACCTTGCTAGGTAATGGAGCAAAAATTTAAACCCAGTTCTCATGGAGTGCTCAGCAGGCTGCGCTTCCAAAAAAAGTCGTTGCCAAGAGCAGGCACCCACATGAGGGGGTGGTGCATGTTCTTAGTAACCTCACCTGTCTGCTGGTAAGTGGCCTTCCCCATTGGGTGTTGTCTATAAAACCTCATACACTGTAAGTTACGGAGCAGCCACTTGAGGGAAGGAAGGGTGAAGTGTCTGAGTGATTATTAGTGATTATTGTCCATTTTAAATCATGAGATTGGCAGTGTAAAGATTCAGTCCCAGTTCTGGTTTTTAAAGAAGGCAATTTAAAGCACATGCTAGAATTGGCCTGGCATTGTGGCTCATGCCTGTAATCCCAGCAGTTTGGGAGGCTGAGGCAGGTTGATCCCTTGAGGTCAGGAGTGTGAGAACATGGGGAGACCCTGTCTATACTAAAAATACAAAACCAGCCGGGTGTAGTGGCACACGCCTCCCCGCTGTTCGGGAGGCTGAGGCAGAAGAATCTCCTGAACTCGGGAGGCGGAGGTTGCAGTGAGCCAAGATTACACTATTGCACTCCAGCATGGAAGACAGAACAAGACTCCGACTCAAAAACAAACAAATAAAAATGCTAGAATTACTTTTCTCACCGACTATATTCACAAAGCTGTATTCACAAAGCTGTGTTTGGAACATTACAGCATCATTAACTCTCCTAGAAGTTGACAGTTTTGTATCTAAAGGACTTGCGGCCTGACTTACTTTGGAATTGAGAAATTTGGGGGGTTAGGAGGATAATACTGCCTTGAGGAGAATAAAACCTTGCGTATACCACATGGCACCCCCAGTGTGTTCTCAAGCAGCATTCTGAAATCTGTATGTGATGTTCAAACTGAATTAGATACATTTTTTAAATTTAGGGGCTTGTGTCACTTCAGGTTAAGTTTTGCTTCCTTAGAAGTTATAAGGAAACCTTCCATTTTCCTAGCATTCTGGAGTTGGGGATTGAGGCTAAGAGTGTGTAGGCCTATAGTCATTTCCCTCTAGAAAAACCTGGGGTGTCACTGCCCTTCTTCATAACTACCTGTTTCCCTGTGGAAGCAAGAGGACCAGAGAGAAAGCCTTGGCTAAAAAAAAAGTCCTGGAAAGTTCATGAAACACATGCTTTTCTTGGTGAGTTTAATGTGGAGTAAGGTACCAATAGCCGTTTCTCCGCCTAACACAGTGCCAATACAATGAGAGATGGCAATTTATTAGCATGTTTAGAAGTAAGGACAGAACAGCCCACGAGTGTTCTTTCTATTGATTTTTTTCATGAGTTGACATGCAGCATTTATAGAAGATGAGCAATTTAAATAAATATGCCAGAAAATGAACAGTTGAAGAGGAAAGATCGAGCACCCCAGCACTGTAGATGATAGTGCCTTATTTACCTTAAAGATTTGTTCCCTATCTCTAGAGAACCAGATATTTTGAAGCAGGCTGACTGCAGGGTATGGTTTGCAAAGCACAGGAGCAAGGCTTTTGCTGTTGTTTCCCGAGGCCAAATTGCTATGAGACATCCCGGATGAGTTATTAGCACCTGTCCTCTTGACTTTGGCTTGGCTGTTTACTCCTGTGGGTTAAACAACTTGACACAGCATTTACAGAATGGGGTAAGCCTGTGTACACTCTTCAGCTCTTGATGTAAGTTTCCAAAACAGCTCTTTCTAACACCCTGTACTAGGCCTGGTACTCTGTGTAATAGTTTACTTTTACCACCATGCACTCCCCCTCCTTATTTCTCTGGTGGGCTGATTGAATAATCATAGTTAATAATAATCATCACTCATTCTTACAGAGTGCACTGAGCTTGGCCCTGTTCTACCTGCTCTGTTCATAATAATTCATTTGATCTGTGCTACTGCTCTGTTTGTCATCATCCCCATCTCAGAGCTGGTTATTATTAGCTGTTACTCCCATTCTGAATTTCTCCCTCTTCAATAGCTCTGAGGGTGAAGTGACTTTTCCAAGGGCACACGGTGGATAAGTGACAGCACCAGCATTCCAGCGGTGGTGGCAGTTTCCGGATTCTCTTCCATGAGGCTTTACTTACCCACTGAGCTCTTGTTTTGTGCTGGGCACTTGCTAAGTGCTTTATACTGGGCTTAATGCTCACTGCACCTATAAGTTGGTATTACTGTGCCCATTATAGAGATGAAGAAAGCAAGGATAACAGGTTTTCAACCCAATGATATGTAGTCATTGGCCTGGCCAGGATTCAGCCTTGGGTCTGTCTTGATTTGGAAGCTCATGCCCCTGATATGTTACAGAAGTCTCTGGATCTACATAGACCGTAATCCTGATCTCTCTGTAAGTGAAACTTGTTGATTCTGGGGTTGCCCATAACCTTGTCTATAATCCAACCCATAATCCTACCCGTCTGCAGCCTCACCATGGGTAGATGGTCTAATTATCACTTTACAACAAGGTCTCAGGGAACTGGGCTGGTTTTACTTTAGTTGTGGAAAAGCCTGCTTACTCGCAGAATGTATAAAACACCTAATTATCCTCTTGGAAATGTCTTATGGCATGCGACTTCCCTATCCATATGACCCGATCCGAAAGTTTTATATTTTTTTTATGTTGATCCCGATGTTGTTCAGATGTAAAAGTGAGTGCCTAACACCAAATGCCAGTTTCTTCCTTAGCCATAGATGCACATTTACAAAACTCTTTCCTTTCCTTGCTAGATGTTTATGACTGTTTTTAAATTTACTGACTCATCTCTCGTGGCTTCCTTCCCCATTAATTGGAAAATCAAGTACTGATTCAGAGAAAAGGGATAACTGGAAGATTAAAGATGTTATTGTGTGACAGGAAGAAAAAAAACCTGCAGCTTTTACTAGTAATTATTTTTCTTGCAACTGTTTATGCAACTCTTATTCCCTTTAATCTTGTAGTTTTCCACAGACTTAAACATAATTTCTTATGCTGCCAAGTTGCTTTGAGATGCTGTGTTTAAAAAAAAAAAAATAGCCCAAATGTGAAAATGCTGCCAAAGAATTTCCATCAACCTGAGTTTGAGTTACTGGTGGCTCTTCATGTCCAGGGAGAGTAATAGTCTTCATTATTATTAGCTAATACCTTCCTGTGTGGCTGCTTGATTCCATCTCAGAGCCAACCCAGTTAAGGAAAGTGGTGATTTTAAAGCCTTTTGTTGAGTGTGATAAGATGAAGTAGCCAGTTTCATTATGTAAAGGAGAGACTGCAGACATAGAATGGACCTCAGGAGTCAGGGTTCACTACAGAAAACAGTTTAATG